AAGGCAAATATCTTAAAAAAGGCAAAACAATCAGGGAAAGCTAAATCGTGGACATTCTTAATCGAATATACTCTATCTCTTTAGCTGAAAAAAGGCAATTTCCATAAAATCCGTTCCCTGGTAATAAGTAAATAAATAAATAAAGCAAGTGGGAGTCTCTGCTTAATTCAAAAGAAGGGGGTATTTCGAAAAGATTGTAGAGAAACAAGCAGCGATCAAATTAGACAATATTTGTTGGTTCAGTTGAAAGATCTAAATTTTTTTCCATTTTTACTTCATTTGCATATAAATAATCTCAAATCTGGTATACTATGTACACTTGTTACTCATTCGCTTCGAATTTTTTTTTTTATATAAAGATGTTTCGGATTTTTATTGTTTCGACATTGATGAGTATGTACTACGCTTTGATGTTTTGCAACATCGCAGCAATCAACTAGAAACATACTTATGTTAGTACACACTTTATTACACAGTATAGACTTCTACATATAATGTATGTATAAATGGACTATCTGCAAAAGAATATCTAATTTTGGAACGACGTGCATACGAAACACTGAGTGATGGTGAGCGAGCGCCAGGTAAGAGTCATCAACAAAACCCAAAACCAAAAACAACGATACGTATGAAAATTGCGTGACTAGGGTTTTGAAATTCGAAAGTAAAAATGTTCGAATGAATACATGTGCGTACTTCATTAGTACCGGGCAGCGGCTGCTTTTGGCAACAACGTGTTGATCGTATGTTTTATGTATGATTTTTTAATTTGCTTGCGTTTTGCAGAGTTTATTTTTTATTGTAGACAAATGTAATTAGTTTTGTTGTTGCTAATGTCTGCCGGCATTGTATTGTATTTTCGGGCTCCACACTTATGGTACGCATTTTAAAAATACAGTATATTTTGCTTAGCTGCACATCCTTCTTTGCACGAAAAACTTGTCCACGTAACCGAAAAAGGCACTTAAGCGAATTTTCTTTACTACTTCAATGAGGATGGTATCCGAATCCCTATGAAACCAAATATTGGCGGAGCACTTACCATGTAGAAATTACTGCAAACGAAATTTTTACCGAATGTTATCTAATTATCTATATAACTACATAAATTGGTAGCCATTTTCGTTGTTCTGCGAGATGAGCAAAATAAATAAAAGGTTGTAAAATTAGGTAATTGTAGGGCCAGTGTAGGTAAACGTAATACTTTCATTGATAATTGATACCAGTCGCACAATTTTTAAGGCAGGTATCGCCAATGTGCAGGTATGTTGAATGCATCTATCGGAGGAGTTTCCTTATAAATGTTAAAAGTAATGCTTTTGATGCGCATTTTGGGGTAGGTATCTTAATGTGCACTTAAGCATATAGGCAGCAAAGCAAAATATACTGTAGTCGATTAGATTAATTAGCGCGCGCGTTAGATAGCGAGGTGCGCTCATTACGTCCCCAGCGAGCGAGTATACACGCAACAATCGGTCGAGTGGTCGAACGGTCAGTGGTTCATTGACAAAGGCGTGCAAAAGTAAAGGCAGAATGTGAAAATGTGAACTTATTTCGTTCAATAAAATCGAGTGCAACAAATTGTGTAGATAAAAAATTTAGATTAAAATCAATGAAAATCAAGGAACATTTTGTGATAAACAAAACTAAATTCAAAAAAAAATTTAAAAAGCAACATCTAAAAGTATTAAATTAAAACATTATAATATCAAAACACTAGAAAAAAGTCAATGAGAAAATTTTAAAAATTATCATAAATAAATAAAATATATACAAAAAATGTCTATGAAATAAAAATTTTTTTAACTGAAACTTAGAATATTGAAGTAATAAAAATCACTTTAAATAAAGCTTAACTCAAACGAAAGTGAACGAAAAACTTTTGAAATTTTATTTTAGTGGCCTTAATTAAAACACTGTTGATAAATTGAAAGTTTCCCCCGAAATTCTTAATAATTTTATAATAATTTGAATACAATTTTTTCTTGCATGTAATTTACTTAAGTATAAAAACGTAACGTCTAGCCTGACGAAGCCGCAACTCTCAACGAAAAACAAGTAAGAAAGTCTAAGTTCGGGCGGAGCCGAACATTAAATACCCGGCGCAAGTATTAAATATATGTTTTTTCACCTTTCCGAAACCTTCCGCTAGATGGTAAGCCGGGGTGTATCAATTTTGAGTAAATTAGCGTCCTTCAATTTCGAAATATTGAAGTTTCAAGCATTTCTGAAATTTACCGTTATATGAGAAGCGGCCGTTATTTTAGTCCGATTTCAATAATTTTCAACGTTTTGCTTTTATGTGGCAAGCACAATAACCATACCGAGTTTGGTACAAATTGGTAGAACGGTTACCGATATACTTATATGTGATCATAAGTGGGCGGTGCCACGCCCATTTTCCAAAATTTTACCATAAACGTATTTCTTGGTAAAGAATTGTTGCAAGCATCAATTTTGAATAAATTAGCTTCAATATTTAATGATTTATCGAAAATTTTGTATTTCTCTAAATTACCGTTATATGGGATGTGGGCGTGGTTATTGTCCGATTTTAAAAAGTTTCGGCGATTTTTTATGCTGTACCAGGGCCAACAACTGTGCCAAGTTTGGAAGAAATTGGTGCAGCGGTTACCAAGATATACACATGTAACCATAAGAGGGCGTGGCTACGCCCATTTTCCAAAAATTTATAATATTCTTATTTTTCGTCTAAAACTTATTATAAATATCAATTTTGAGTGAATAATCTCCAGTAGTTACTAAAATATCGCAGTTTTCGTATTTCTGAAAATTACCGTTATATGGGAAGTTGGCGTGGTTATTGAGCGATTTTAAAAATTTTCAGCCAGTTGGTATGTTGTGCGAAGGCCAACAACTGTGCCAAGTTTGGAAGAAATTGGTGCAGCGGTTACCAAGATATACACATGTAACCATAAGTGGGCGTGGCTACGCCCATTTTCCAAAAATTTATAATATTCTTATTTTTCGTCTAAAAATTATTGTAAATATCTATTTTGAGTGAATTATCTTCAGTAGTTACTGAAATATCGCAGTTTTCGTATTTCTGGAAATTACCGTTATATGGGAAGTGGGCGTGGTTAACATCCGATTTCGCCCATTTTCAATACCACCCTACCTTGGATTAAGGGAAACCTACATACCAAATTTCGTTGAGATATCTCAATTTTTGCTCGAGTTATCGTGTACACGGACAGACGGACAGACGGACAGACGGACAGACGGACGGACGGACGGACAGACAGACATGGCTTAATCGATTTCTTTTTTCATCCTGATCATTTATGTATACATTTGTCTATATCTATCTCGATTCGTTTTGGCTGTTACAAACAACCGTTATGTGAACAAAATTAATATACCCTTGTGCACAAGTGCGCTCGGGTATAATTACACTGAAGATGGCACAACGCCAAAACCGGTTTGTCTCCAAACTAAATTTGACAAGAGTTGGCGGAAAATTGTTCGAAAAAATACATTGCAAAAACGTAAAAGATTTTACATCTATTTTTTTTTTAATAAAACCGTAGATCTAAACTAAAACTAAGAGAAAAAAGGAAAAAAAATCTATAACAAGTTTTTAAAAAGAAATTAAGAATTTATGGGCCAGTCCATTGTGACTGGTGGGCCATTTTACTCCATTATGTGTTCAATTGTGAATTATAAAGAATTATAAAGCAGCTTTTAAAAATTACCTGCCGGTTAAAAACATGTTTTGAGAAAAATAGTTGTGTTTAAAGGGCAGATAAATTTTAAAAGTTACTTGAGAAAACCGCCCAAAAAAAATATTAACATTTAATAACAAAACCGAGTCAATGTTGATTCCTCAGATGGAACGCATATCAAGAACACTTAAAACGTATTTTCTCAGGTCTCAGTAAATAAAAAAGCTGTGCTAATGCTAAAACGACCTCCCACAGTAGAATTTTTCAGCAAATTCAAATTCTACGATATTTCTAAGCAAAAATGGCGAACAAATTATATACCAAAAATGACGTTTGACCCTCCCAATTTTCAAAAGAAAAAGCAGTATTTTGTAATTTGCTTCGTGGAAATTTATTTTTCATTTTCCAAAAAAAATTTCTCCGTTTTATGAAGTAGTTTCTTAAATATGAAGAAAGCAAAAAAACTTGTACATGAAAAATTAATTACGTTAGGAAAAAATTATAATACACTTATTTTCCTTTTAAAAATTGGGAGGCTCAAACGTCATTTTAGTCCGCCCTAATGCAAATATTTGATTTTGTTACAAAAAAAGTTCATTTCCCACACTGAAACTTTAAGGAGCTTATGGGATTTCTCTAGGCCTCATCGTTTGTCTCCTACGTCGGGGCGGGCGCACAAATTAGGCTCCTCTGGTTGAATTTATCCTCAATGCGGGGTTTGGAAATTCGTTATCTGATGGGAGTGGAAAATTTGTCAGTCGCATCCCTCGTCATTGACTTTAGGTTGGTTGTGGGGCCCAAGCCCAGCGCGCACAACCCATTGCTTTCTAAGAGAAAGTTTTAGTTATGTGAAAAAATATTCATAATTTATTTTCCAGATGTTTATTATAAAAATTGCTTCTTTATAAGAGTTATATGAAAAGTTTAATAAAAATTTCGAGCAAAAAATGTTATTTAAAAAATGTATAATAAATGTATATTTGAATAGAAAAAAAATTATAAAAATAAAGTTACTGGAACCATATTTATTATTATATATCATCAAGGAAAAACAATAATTAAAGAGAGATTAAGAGATTAAAATTCAAAAAAAGAAAAAACCCAAAAAAGTTTCGTATAAAAATTTTTATTAAACAAAATATTTAATTGTTTTTTCCCACAACATTTTTCATTAAAAAAAACGGCCGCAAGCTCAATAAAAATTATTGAACATTAAAATAATTTAAAAAATAATTTAAATAAATAAGTAAAACACGTGAAAAAGTAGACAAAAAACTTAAAAAATCGCCACAAGAAAAATTCAGCACAATGATCGGTAGGCCGAAATTTCATTTAGAATTCTTTACTTTTTTCTCGATTTGTGAAGCGTAACTTTTTTCTGCAGAACTAATCACCTCGAATTCTGCAACGGATTCGCTGCGACGCAAACCGGAGGATGTGCTGAAATTGATGCTCTTGGTCTGGGCACGCGAGTCGCATGTGATTGCCAAGACTTCAGGCGGCAAAAGGGGTACTTTTTCAGCTAAGGAATCAAAAGCCTTACATGCACACATTAACATAATCAAACAACCTAACATTAAAGTACCAAATACAAAAACTAACGATACTTTTCTTTGTGGTCCTACTTTTCACCCTCTCTCGCTCTCTCTTCCTTTTTTATTCTACTCAGGCGTCGACAAGACAATTGTGGTGAAGAGTGAATCCGGTGAATTTGGCTTCCGCATACATGGCTCCAAGCCAGTTGTCGTCGCTGCCATTGAGCCAGGAACACCCGCCGAAAGTTCAGGGCTTGAAGTGGGTGACATAATTATCTCCGTAAATGGCGTCGAAGTGTTGGACAAGCATCACACCGAAGTGGTGAAGATAGCGCACGATGGCTGCGAGATACTCGAGCTAGAGGTGGCGCGCACCATTGTCGTACTCATGCATGAGCAGCAAGAGCCACCGGGTCAGCCGATATACAGCGGCTATTTATGGCGGCAGAGCGGTCAGGCGAAAGGGGCGCCAAATACAAAGAAATGGGTACGTCGTTGGTTTTCGTTGCGACCGGACAATTGCCTCTACTACTACAAAACGGAGGAGGTAAATAAGTGTTTGACGGAATATAGAATTATTTTACGAATTTGTTTTCCTTATTTTCTTCTTTCGATTACCGCAGGACTCCCAACCCGTTGGCGCTATGATTATGGCCAAGCATACGGTTGATCACTGTCCACCGGAGGTCGGCAAGCCGTACGCCTTCAAAATCGATTCCGGCGAAGGCATACCGTTGTATGTGGCTGCCGATTCAGAGGAATTGTCCAACCGTTGGATTAAGTTGCTCAAGCAAGCGGCCACACAGGGCACACCCTGGCTGGATAATTGGTAGCTAAGCAATTGCTTTTGTCCTTTTTTTTTGCTTTGGAAAATACCAAGAAAACTTAATCTTAGTTTTTTGTTATAAAAAAAATGTCAGTGTTTTTTGTTCACTTCTTTCTTTACTTTCTTCATCTCTGCACAGCGCACACAATCTCTACCAACCGCCGTGCAGCATTACACGACCGGACTGTTTTGGTTACCTGCTGAAGTTGGGCTCCCGCTGGTGCGGCTGGTCGAAGCGCTACTGTGTGCTGAAGGATGCCTGTTTGTATTTCTACCAGGATTCGAATAGTAAAACGGCATTTGGTGAGTGCGTCGTTAGTTGGCGTTAACACATAGTATTTGTACTTTTGTCGAAAAGTATTTTCGTGTTTACATCACTTCTTTAATTTTTGTTTGTTTTCCCTTCTTTGCTTGTTTGCTATTCTACGCCAAAATAAATGCTTATCGTTTTCTCTTACACTGTTTCCTTAATTTTGATTTGTCTCTTCAACACTAGGTATGGCTTGCTTGCATGGCTATAAGGTGTCGTCGATGTCAACCAACGCTTCAGGGAAAAAGAATTCATTTGAGATTATTCCACCTGAAACAAACTTGCGCCCCTACTACTTCTGCACCGAATCGGAAATGGATAAAAAGAGGTGAGTTTCAGTGTTGAGGTGTAGTATAGAGAGTTAAAAAATCTGACGCAATAGCTAACATTGACAGGAATTTAATCAAAGTAGACAACTTTGTTCGTTATCGGCGTCATTAAAGTGTAAACAGAATCAAAGCGCTGAGCGAACTTCATCGGAAGAAAGTTCGCTGCCAAAATTAAAACAAACTGCGGTATTTGAGATTGCACAGAACCAAAGCGGCAACGAAGTTCGTCTGACGAATTGCGTCGAGTATAGATTTATTTGTAATT